CTCTTTTTGGGCCTTTTTATTGTTTTTGTTTTTCTTTTTTTTCTGTTGTTTTGCTTGTATTTAAATTGTGGGATGCCTTTGGATCTCTCTTGTCCTTGTACTTATTTTTTTTTCAAATGAAAGTAACTTTGTTTGACAAAAAAAAAAAGATTAGGGATTGGCATATCCCTCTCAATAATGGTCATGGAGGGCTTTTGTAATCATTACTGTCTAACATTTTGTTGAGAACTTGACCTTAATCCCTCGGTACTTGAAAACACCTCACGCGCAAGCATAAAAAAAATTTCAAAACCAAAGATATATGTATATTTTGATGTCAAGAACTTTTGTGCTGCCCATAATTTTAAGCAAAATGGAGAGTTTGTAGCATTTGTTTCATTACCAGTGTTAGGACTTGGGACCACAGACTAGTGACTAGAGACTAGGGATAGGCAAAATACCCATGAGTTTTGGTAACCACGGATATCTGCCTATTTAAAGTTCATAGTTACGGTTATGGATAACCGTTTAGATAAACAAACGGTTATGGGTATAACCGTTTATCCATGAAATTTAAATGGGTGGTTATGGGTATTACCCACGGTTATAACGGGTATCCATCGGTTATGGGTATTACTTGCGGTTATAACGGATATTCATTTACCCACACTTTTGCAACAACCAATCAAATACTTCCCTCACTCTTTAAGACAAAGGACATTTTGGAGGAGGGAAAATTTTAAACCTCGATGGCAAGAGTAAACGCTTTTAGTTACCGATGGGCACTTGAAATCAAAAATTGAAATGGGATGGACTAAATTAGACCCCACTAAATGGTTTATTTTTTGCGATTTTGAAACCGAACCGCAGACTAAATGACTTTAGTTCCTAATAAGAACTAAACAACAAACTAAATGATCTAATTTCCTCCTCTCTCACATCCTCGACTCCCCAGTCCTCTTCGTCGCTTTTGTTCTTTCATTCTGCCCTCTCATATGGTCACACTGCAAATCGTGACCAATTCCAAACAACCTCCAAACGAATCGCTCATGGTCCTCAGTATGGTGATCATGTATTAATGCTATAATTAAAGATTTGCTTGGGTGTAGCAGAAAAATATTGTTTGTAAACTATTATTTTAATTATTGGAATTGTATGAGGACTTAAATGATTAAAATAGGGAAATGCATGCTAAAATGTACCTGTAACAGTGTTTAATTGTTAGAAAACGAAAATGATGACAAATTTTTCTTTTGTAGTTTTCAAGCTGTTAAAAAAAAACATGTAGACGGGTGAAAAAATGGGTAAATGGTTATGATTAAATGGGTAAACGGTTATGGTTAAATGGGTATGGGTATGGTTAACCATTTATAAACGATTATGAGTATGGGTATAACCATTTATGCAATTACCCAACAGGTAAACGGTTATGCAAGTATGAACATAAATGGTTATGGGTAAATGGTTATCCGCCCGTCATAATCATTGCCCATCCCTACTAGAGACCATATTCATGAAGAAAGTGGAAAACACATATTACTGGCCAAAGAAATTAAGCACTAATATATGATTATGGTGATGCACCCATCTCTACATTATTAATTAAGTATTGCAGTGAGTGAAGGATTACTTTTGTGATTTTGTTGCATTTAAGAACCTGATGTGAATATTTTTTTTATAGGATATATTTACACCAAGTGAGAAATTTGTGTTAAATCACACCATAAGCCAGCTATAATAAATTGGTATCAAATTCGTCACTCAGAAAAGTCGAAATCAAGACCTTCTACTTATAAATGAAAAAATTAGGGTAGAAAAAGAATTGTTGATACACCCCAACCTAAATCAGGGCATAATGGTCGTCACGCGAGGTTGACGTAGCCATATGCACAGTGCAGAAGTAATAGAGATATAAGGAATTACAAATAAACAAAAACCAAATCAACTAGAGTACTAGCTAAGATAAAGTGTTAGTGCGAGATTAAGTGTGAAATACACAATCAGAGCATAAATAGCCTAAGTGCAGTCAAGCAGGACAAGTACTAATTATAAAACACATAAAGGTGATCCTACATTTATGATGTTCTGCCAGAACCACGGTTGAAATCCTCGTGAGCCACCAAAGCTCTTCTACCTAAAACCTAGAGGGGCGTAAAACAGAAAGTGTGAGTATGCAAAAACAAAGCTTTTCAAAATCATTTCATTTCTCAAAAGTTCTAACCCATCGCCGTAAAACCTGTATAATTTCCCAGAAAATAATAATAATAATAATAATAATAGTAAGTTGTATCAGAAATCATACGCAAGATAAAAATCCATAGCAGTATACCATCTCAATGCAATGCCATAAGTAATCCAGACAAAATATATCAATATCAGATATCCCATCATCCAAATCCCTCTAACTCAATCTATACGGCTGAGTCTATAGCTCATAATCAATCTCAATCATATCAATTCAAATCCTGCACACAAGTTGGAACCACCTAAAGTAATCTGTACGACAAGACTAAGTGTAAAATAAATATGCTCTAGTGCTACGATCACGTGAAGACTATGCGAATGATCGCGGGTCACCTACAAGTTGAAACCACCTATAATGGTCTATACAACAAACATGTGCACCTAACTTGGATCCAAGGTGAGCATATGGTGTAGGAGGTGAACTCAAGTGAAGGATTGTGCCCTAACTCTGGGTGGGAGCACTAACACCGGGATGCAGGTTTATGAGCTCTCAATACATCACATCATATCTCACATAACTGAAGTAATCTCACATCTTTAATTTATGAACTTACCTGGCACTTACATGTGCGTCCGCAACACCAATCATAAATATATGCAACTACTAATGCATAAATAAAATAGGCAGATACTTTGCATGGCATTTCAAACGTATAATCATTCAAATTCATTTTCTGGGAAAAACTCAAGTATATAGGTATATACGGAAAACCAAAAGCCCACTCACTGATATGTCGAAGGGTCGTAACCCCTGAGCCTTGATTGATAATGCTCGTCCTCAGGATATGTTTCACCTATATGTGAAATAACTAAATAAACGTTATTTAAAGCATATATACAAAACAAGGAAATAACTTCTCAAACATTGCTCAAATGGGGTATTTGAATATACCACCATGACCTACTCAACCTCAAGAACACCCCTAAATTTTTAGAAAAAATTTTCATGACTGCACGCGCCCTCACGTGCCTGGCACACCTAATGGCGTTAGGGAATATTCCGTCAAAAATCAGAATATGCCGTTAAAGTTACCTGACGGTGTCAAAATATTCCGTCAACTTTGACGGAATATTCTCATCCTTCTTCCTTGATTCGCCAGAGTCCGGTGCCGGTCACCACTGCGATCGCCGGAAATTGGGAAATTTTAAAACTTCAATATCTCGCTCATTTTTCCACCAAAACTCATGAAATTTGTACCAAAATGAAGCTTAGGACTAGAAGAACAAAACCTTACCACTTTCAAGCCTTCAAATCCACGGGATTTCGCCAGAGGAACCTTGATATGCCGGCCAAACTTGAAACTTGTCAAACTCAACTTCCCAACGTCCAATTCACTTCGTTTTTCTTCTCCGAGCTTCGTGAAGATGTTTTAAGGCTCCCTAGCAGCTTAAAATCCCCTAAAAACTTCGAAATCACGAGTGCATGAACAATAACCCAAAACTGGGTTCTCAGGTTCTCGGGAAAATGAGGTCTTCACGTTCTAAAAAGGGTATAGATGTGTTCCTAAGCTCACAAGGAACACAAAATTGACTTCAAAAACCTCGATTCGTGAAGAAATTGTTGGTTTGAGGTTTGTCCGTACGTATTGTATGGAAAATGGAGAAAGTGTGTGTGTGTGGTCCAGTTTGCAACCAACCAAAACAAAAGAAATTAAAACCTAAGTCCCAAATAGTTCCAAAAGTCTAGGAAAATAGGAATTGGACCACAACCAAAACATATCACACAACACACCTCAACGTCTAAGGGTACTTCAGTCAATTCACACCATCGAAAAATTTATTTCGGGACGGGCTGTCACAATTGCCAATTAAAGTGTTTTCAATGTTATGATTGCTATGATGAAAGGGTTTTATATGGAATTTTAAAACAGAAATTTTATTTCCTACAAGGAGGATTTATTCCAATGTGGTTTTTTTGAAGTCAGTTTTCAGATTTGCACAAAGCTTCTACTACATTGGTGCACTTTGCCTAATTGGACGTTCATGCGACTAATCGAAAATCTTTATTTATTGAGAGTTAGTGCGTATAGTTGATGAATGCAGGCTACTTATGGAGCCCTCTCCATGTAATACAAACAATTCGAGTCGTCTATTTTTTAAGTCTCATTTCATATCATTTTTGTAAAATATTAATCAGAATCAGAATTGATTAAGACATCTAATTGTGTTTAAAAAAATTAACAAACATAGTACTCAAAAAAACATTAAAATTTCAACATGAGAATTGAATTGGTAAAAGGTTTCAAAATGAGTTGACTTTTTACAAATGTGATATATTGATGGAGAACTAAAAACAGGTTTTTCGAATCATTGTAAAAATATATTTAAAATGGGGATCTCTTTCTTGAAGGGTTTTTATACATGTAAATCACGTTTTACACTTTCCAAATTTATTCAACAACATTTTCCTCGTAACGTTGAGGTTCTAAAAGTAACCTTCGTCTTTTTTTCTTTTTTATTCAATCAATATAGAATCGAACTCTTGTTGTAAGTGTGATATTTCTTTTCGAAAAGTCTCCATATCGCTAGTTTTCTATGAGAAATGATAATCACACATCGTTTTTCTCCTCCTACATACCTCTTTTCATTTTGGCCGTATCAAACAAAAACGACAGACAAATTAAACACGAGTGAGAAAAAAATGTGGGTATCATATTCCCTTTTCTTTTACTCCTTTCAATCCTGTAATTTTTTGGTTACATCCAGCTTGTCAACTGAATTGATTCATTTGTTAATCACGATCATTCTACAAAAAAATCATATAAAACAATGTGACATACTTTACAGCATGCAATCATACCCTTTCACCGAAACATAAAAACTACAAAATACAAACATTATTAATAGCTCCATTTTGTTTCCAACTCCTGCAAATGTAACACTTACAACAAAATTTTATACACTAACTTCTCCCCAGCAGCTCTACAGAGCTACATTATCAACAAATATGGAACCAAAGAAATGAAACTACGATTCGGGCAAATGTCGATTGCTATAAAACCAAAGTCGTGAACTTACAAACATAAATGTTTTGAATCTTGACAGAAAACTAAACAGCATCAGTGCCACCTAGTTGGATCGAGACGGTAAATCAAAATTGTCAGACGAAAAAGAAGTCGAGAAAGAAAGAATTATATCTTAACCAATAGCCGTAAACACAATTCACCCGGTCCCTCAATGACAACGGACCTACTTGGGAGAGCGATTATCCATACTAGGGAAAATCTTGATACCGTTTATTAGTTTGCTTGTATTACAGTCAATGAACCCCAAAATGACTGCTAAAAAGCTGAAGGCATTCATTTTTTACTATACTGATGCTTTGGCTTCGTTTTGCAGAATGTCCAAAAGAAAATTGCTTTTGAAGACCACAAAATGCCACTTACATGCTGAGCTTGAACTTATCAATGTAATTAAGATTGTTTTTCACGATTTCCAGCATATGATGAAGCTTCTTGAGGCTCTACTTTAGTATCATCGTTGATCACTTAGAAGTGGTTGTGATGCAGGAGCTGCACAAGGAAATAATACAAGTAAGTACAATATGGAATGAAAATGTACTGGTCAATTTAGCAAGGACTGCACATAAGAATTCTAGTCATCCAAGAACGAATTTTTGACGTCTAGAGTCAAAGGGTTTATTTTCCTTATATCAATCATGATCTGGCCTTCTTCACAAAATGGATGGAATTGATTACACAGACCATCCAGTCATTCTATATTATCAGTATTGGCTGGGGAAAGGAAGAAATGCAGGAAGATCCCTTTAAGCAAATATTAAGGGAACAATGCAAAAAAAGTAAGAATTACCTCCAAAACCTTGCTCACTGGATACAGGTACTGGTTTGCACATCTTCTCAGAAATTTCAGCTATAACCAAACGTGATAAAAGAAGCGTCGCAATAAGAGCACAAATCATTAACATCACAAATACTGCATCCCATCCCTTTGTTGAAAGGAAACCAGTAAGAAGAGGGCCAAAAGCTGCACCAACTGATCCTGTACCATCAATTATGGCGGTAACTGTTGCCAGTGCTCGAGAATCCCCTCTAAGGGAGCTGTGCGTACCAAGGTCTGCAGAAACTGCAGTGGTGATAAGTGCATAGGGCCCATTAATAAACAAGCCAGCAACCATCATAAGTGCAATGTTGGCATTGTGTGAAATGCTGCCATATTTCCGATATAAAAGCATTGCCGGAATTGCAAAGGACATGAAGCCTGCTGCCGTGGTAGCTCGAGCATTAAGTTTATCAGATATGTAGCCAGCAAGGATTCCACCAACTATGCCTCCCACATCGAACAAAGTGGAGAGATTTCCAGCAGATTTCACAGAAACATACTCTCCCCCTATTTCTGCAAAAGCATAAGAGGGAACAAGATGAGGAACAAAATAACAGATGCATGAACACAATTTAAAATAAATACCTCAAAAAATTTTATATATATATAACTCTGCTGTCACCTTGCCAGTTCATGAGCATTGTTGCAATGTGATATAACATTAGACAACAAAGATTGATCAATTTCCAACGGCAATGTAAAATCAACACTTACTAACAAGTAAGAACAGTGTGTGCGAATTAGGTTCTAATAGACATTACCATCGACAAAAGAACATAGGATCAGCATAAATAACTAGGTACGCATGAGACCAGTATCCACATTAGCAGCCCCATCAAAAGACATGTTTCCTCTGTTGTTACTAGTACTCAAACAATGTTGGAAACCAGGTGAACCGCACAAAGATAAACTTTTGCAGGCTACTAGGACTCCTTATTTGAGTACATGCTTATTCTTTGCAAATCATCTGGAAATCATATAAAGGAATTGGTAAAAATTGCCCTCAAAAACCTATTACCATCTACAGGGTGTTTACAGAGAAAATAGATTGGCCACTCCCTTTCTCTCTCTCTCTCTCTCTTGGAACTTGTTGAAATGAAACAAAAAACCACAAGAAACATGAGAAATTTGTCAGACAAATACCCTCCCTCACTTGCAGCTCCATCCTATACATGGAAAGGCAAAGATATACAGACGGAAAGAGGCATATAAGTGCAGCCTTGTCTGCACCTTTCAGAACAACAAAAAGATGGGGAATGGCAATTGGAGGCTTCAAACCCAAGTCCTTCTGAAAACCAGAGTTCTATGCCATTTTAGGCAATTAGATAAGAAAATTAACACATACAACTGCATAGATTAGAAAGATGGAGACATAAGTAATATGAACTCTATCAACTCATAAGGAAGTTTATTGTGCACTTGTAGTATAACAGAGAGGCCCTAGACCCTAAGCACCAATCTTCTGCCAACATGTTCTTGACTATAAAATTATAAATAACAACCCACGGATACTGCAATGTTTATAATCTTCTTGTTCCAGATTAAAATAATAAAAATACAAAGGCAGAAGATATCTGAAAATGCAGATGGCATTCCCAAATCTTATAATTGTTACGTCATATCAGTCAATTCAGATTATATATAAAACTATGAATGTTATATTACCTGTCTGACTGAGATAAAATGGTAGCCAGTACAGAAATGTGTAGGCCACAAGCTTTGAGAAGAAGAGGCACAACGCAAAAGGTATAACTCCTGGTATTGTACAAGCTTGAATAAGTCCAATACTTGTCCTACTCACAGACCCAATTCGGCGAACAGTTTTTGTTTCACCCTCGACAATAAATCCTTTTTTTATATTAGCTTCTTCGTCATCGGCCGTTGCCTCCAAATTAGGAGCTGAATTTGGCGGGAAAGAAAATCCAATATCTTCAGGATAAGCAGCCAAGAAGAAGAAAACGATTACGCCTCCAACTGCTATAAAAACACCTGGAACAATAAAGCACCAACCCCACCCATAATCCAGAACACTAGCAGCAAGAAGTGACCCACTTATATTCCCAACCGAAGTATGCGCATTCCATATGCCCATTATCAAACCCCTCTTACCCTTTCCAAACCAATTACCAATCACAGCAACAACCGAAGGCCAACCCGTTGCCTGGAACAACCCGGCAATCATTTGCATCCCAAGATAGTAACCAAACACATGGATATTCCAAAAGTATCCCATCCCAAACAGGGCAACAAAAATGCCACTCCCAATCATCCCGGTCGTCAAGAACAACCGGAGGTCCAAAGTATCTCCCAAATGCCCAGCAACATACATTCCCAAAGAGTAACATGCAAGAAATGCAAGATCAATCTCCCCCAATTTCGACGTCCCATCGGTTCCGTTGAAGGGAGCCCAACCCTTGTCTATCCTATAATTCTCATTGCCCCCAAACTCTCTCTTGACAAAGACTTTGCCAAACAAGGGGTCCAAGCCATTGCCTTTATTGGGGTCAGGATACAAAACACTTTTAACTATACTACTGGGCTTTCTAGATGCATGGTAACATGTATAAGCTATGAAAGTAACAAGCAAAATCACATATCTATATGTAGAAAGACTCCAATCTTTGCCTCTAATGCTTCTAATCAGCAAAATCCCAGGTGGGATTCCTCTCATTGTATCAGAGTTCTGAGACATTTTAATCCCACAAAAAAAACAAAATCAAAACTACCCAAAATTCCTCACAAGACCTTCATATCGCATTCATTTTCAAATTCGAAAACTACCCGGAACGCAAAATTGCAGGTTTCATGCGTCAAAATATCAGAGCAAAAGCTTTAGAGAGAGAGACAGTAGGATGAGCTTGTTGATTTGACAAGAAGAACTGAGGCCTTAAGAGGCCAAAAATTCAGGCTTGAATCGCTGAGAGGATGAGAGGAAAAGCGTAGAGGGCGGGGAGGCAGAGGGAGGACAAGTGGCGGGATGTGAGCAATGGAATGGAACTGGTTTTGCTGTGCTTGGGCGCCACGCTTTCTTTCCGAGTCTGAGACCGTGACGATTGGTGACACAGTGGATGATGGAGTGTTTGTATGTGCTCGGCTGCGAGAAACGCGTGGTGGTTTCTGTTGGGTTTTGTGAAACATGAACCACGCATGTGTGCAAAACTGCAAACAAATTTATAAACTCTAAACTATCTCCAATAGTTCGGATAAATCTTAAACCGCTCAAATCAATTAGGGCACACCTAACTTCCCTTTTTTTTTAACAAATGATATTATCTACTTATAGTTTAGCGATGTAGTCAAACTCAGATTTGAGATGATTTTATAAGATTTTAAAATCCTAGTGTAGTCAATTAAAAGATTTTAAAGGATTTTAGAATCCATTCAAATCTAGGTGTGGTCGATTAAAAGATTTTAAAAGATTTTAAAATTCATTCAAATCTAAGTGTATTAAAAAAATTAAGATTTTTTAGGATTTCAATAAGTTGTGAATTTTATGAGATTTGAGAGAAAGAAGTATATATAACCAAGACTAAAAAGAAACCAACCTCACCCCCTAGGATTTCAAATCCTTTTCCATGTGGGTAGTCCTCAAATCTCTACCAACCCCAGCCACATACAGGTAACCACCATATACTTTGATGGAATATCTTATTATGACCCTTAGACCTTAATTAGGCATGTATGATCATCGAAGGACATGATCGATCTAGGATTTTGGTTAATGATACTTTCTTGCCATTCTGATTTTTTAATGTATGTGGTACTACAAGCACTACTGAAGTACCACAGCGTACGTCTGTGGCAAAAGGGCAATCGATGGTGATGGTTGTTGGTGGTGTAGTGCTCAAAAACTCACTAAAGTTATGTTGATATATCAATTGAGAAAGAGATTGAACTGTGGTTGTGTGAAAGGGGACCTGATAAGGGAGGGGATAAAGTGGCTATTGAGTACAGTAGGGCAAGGGAAAAGATTTTTCCTTTTTTTTTCAATAAAAAATTATATGAAAATCCACCGCAATCCACCAAAATCTACAAACTAAATCCATTCAAATTCTTTAAAATCCACATGAATTTTGTAGGAGTCTTAAATCCTCCTAAATCCTATCAAATCTATCACTTTTAAAATCCTTTAAAATCTTAGTTTGACTACACCCAATTTATTAAAATAAATTTAGTATCTTAAGTTTAATATTATTTTATAACCAATAATTATCTTTTTAATGATAAAAATTAATTTTTTTTCCTAATTATCTCTTTAATTATACCTTTTTTGTTTATTTTTTGTTATTTTTTGTTCCTCTTTTTTTGCTCTAAACCTCATTCATAGATTTTATTTTATTTTTTTTATAATCAATCTAATTTTATTTATGACAAATTATTTTTTATAATTAACTCTATCAAAAATTAATGTATCTTTTTGTAGGTATATTATGTTTTTCTATCTTTAGTTTTAAAATAATTATAAAAGAAATAAAAGTGGAGAATGGATAATATTGGACTTAACCTAATAACCACGTTGATTTTTGGACCCAAATCTAAATGCCCCTTTCAATTATTTAGATATAAATTATAATAAGCCTTTGAAAAAAAGAAAAAAAAATCTTTCAGCTAGATTCCTCTCAAGAATTGAATCTGGCTTAATTCCTTTTGGACCCACCAAACCATCACTATGCGTGTGGATTGCACGACGAAAGCCTAAAGCCCCTAACAACTCACCACATGTGCCACATGACACACAGAAGCATGGTAGGGTCCATGTAGATAGGCATGTCGACTACACACCAACGGTTCGTATTTGTTCAACGTCTATATAGTATGACCATCAGTTCATCCAACGGTCATATTTCAAATTTTATTTATTTATTTTAAGTGAAAATATATAATTCAACAATTGTGATTTAATGAGATCAAATCTAATAGTAAAAAAATTATGATAAAATCTAATAGTAAAAAAATTATGACGACCCAAAATTAAATATAATAGTTAAAATAATTTTTAAAAATAAATATTATTTAAGTCAAATTTCACATAAAAACTAATTGAAGCGCACGAAGAGACCAAGGAATAAATAATTGAAGGGCATGAAGAGACCAAGGAAGAAATGGTCTGAATGAGCCTACTCATGGAGAAGGAAATGAAAAAGGAAGATCCAAGAGACTATTTAGAGCAAGAAAGGCTTGAGTTTGAGGTAACGAGAGAGGACCTCAACAAATATACTTCGAGGAGGAAGAAGTTCTTTTGTGATAAGCAAGCGGAAATTATAAGATGCCATGCCATAAGAAATTCAAAGGAACATTAAGCTAAAAGATCATATTTTTTGTTTAAGCACTATTTGAAAGGTCAAATTAATTAGCTAGTTGAAATGACAACAATGCCCCAACCTTACCATCATAAGGTCATAGCCATTAACCTTTTCAATGAATTGTGACTGACATGCATACGTAGACTTTTTTAAGAAGAAAAAAAACTTCGCTTAGGGTATAAGGTCTAGCTTCCAGTTTTTGAGCTCCTCCCAAAATTTGAAACCTATAGCATAAGCCCTAAACTTATCTCAAGGACATTCCTAGACCATAAACCTAAAATGATTAACCACAAACCTCGACGGGTCTTCTAAAAAACCCTGCACTCTCAAGTCAACTCGGGGCTCTAAGGGGGCTTACAAAATTCTAAAAGAAACAAGCTTGAGGACAATACGGTAACCTCACATATCTTTTATAGGAAAACTAATGAAAAGGACTTGAAAACTTTGAGTTTTAATGATAAGGACAAAATAAAAGGTAAAGTGAATAGTACCAGGATTGACTTTTTAGTGTAAAAATGTGGTTTTTCGTTAAAGTGAACAGTACCGGGTGTTTTCGTTAAAGTTCCCATCTTTTATTTAGTTATAGGCTCACTTGCAATCAAATTTGTAGCTTATTTTAGACTAAAATAATTAATTGATGCCGCTTAGTACTACAGTCTAGTAATGTATTTCTTTTCACTTCTAAGTAAGAGATCCTAGATTCTAATTATTGGTTATAAAATAATATTAAACTTAAGATACTAAATTTATTTTAATAAAATGGGTGTAGTCAAACTAAAATTTTAAAGGATTTTAAAAGTGATAGATTTGATAAGATTTAGGAGGATTTAAGACTCCTACAAAATTCATGCGGATTTTAAAGAATTTGAACCATATTATTGTTAGTCCATTATGAAATTAAATTCATCACTCATCTTAATGTAGATAATATCATTTGTTTAATAAATAAATAAATTGAAGCGTAAATTACAATTCTTATTAAAAATAAATAAAAACATGATTGTCGTACGTGCAACGCACGTGATGAATAGATAGAACGGATAAGGCCACCTTCGTCCTCCTCTTCTCCTTTCCTCTGCGTCGTAGACTCCATAGTTAGACCAGTCCATCCTACTCACTCCCATGACCTCTACTCTCTAACTCTTTCTCTCTCGCCCCTTCCTCATTTACCACAAACCCTAATTCCTAAATCATGGGCTCCAAAATTCTTCCACAGGTACTCTCTCTTTGTCTCTGTGTGTGCGTGTGAATTGTAGTAATAATTTCTAGAGAAATTGATGATTTTATGGTTTTGCAGGCTCTGCTAACAATTCCAAGAAACCCTAACGAATTCCCGCCAGTAAAGCTCGGTTTTTCAGCTGCTCTCGCTCGCCGCTCTTCCAATTGCTCTCGGGTTTCGCTCTCTAGGGTTTCATCGAGCTCAATTGGGTCCGTTTTCAGTCCCATTGTTTCTGCAATGTCGAAACGGAACTTTGTTGTGAGGGCCGAGCCGAGCTCTGAAGGTGAAACCGGAGCCACGGATGATGCCCAAGAGATTGAAGCGGCTGGGAGAGGAGAGGCCTCTGTGGCCGTGGTAGAATCTGAAGCAGAAGCAGAAGCAGTGCTGGAGTCTGAACCCGAAGAGCCAAAGCCGCCGAGAAAGTCTCGGGTTAAGCTCGGAGATATAATGGGGGTAATTTATTCCGTTTTCTCTATTTTGCTGCTTTGCTTGGTTGATGTGAAAAGTGCAAATAATAAGTATGAAGAACTGAACATAATTTTGAAACCGAAACCGAAACCGAAATTATGTTTGGTGAAGTAATGTGGAAATGAAAATGACATCAAGGTTGTGTTGAGTTCTGATCTCAGCAAGATAGTAGTTTAGAAATGTAGATTCCGAAAATGCGTAATTAAATAAAGGGGATTGCCTGGAATGTAGATTTAAACACGGTATTTTGAGGAAAGCTGAAACACTAACTTCCTTGTTACTGTAAACCTTTCTTAATATATTAGTCATTTGTTTTTTCGCCTTTCAACCGTATGGTAAGTGAGAATAATGTTGACCGGAATTCTTCTGTTTGGTTAGATATTAAATAAAAGGGCAGTTGAGGCGGCCGAGCAGGAAAGGCCAGTTCCGGACATTAGGACTGGAGATGTTGTGCAAATTAAACTGGTAACAGTGGTTCTGCTTTATTTCTTCAGATTTATACCATACGGCATTGAACCTGTTGTGATTCTTTTTATGTGTATGACTTACAGGAAGTTCCTGAAAATAAGAGAAGGTTGTCTATCTATAAGGGCATTGTCATTTCTAGACAAAATGCTGGTATTCACACAACTATTCGCATTCGGAGGATTATTGCTGGCATAGGGGTTGAGATTGTGTTCCCGCTGTAAGTCTTCTTTTGTGTTCTGCATTTTGTGCTTGATTTTTCTGCTGAATCTATTGTTTATAATACCCCCTTCACAAATAACTTGTTGGGCTATACATGATTCCCTGGATTCTGATGACATGACTCTGAAGAAGCTAACATGTGGAAATCCATCTGGGATACTTATTGTCGATGTTTATTTATTAAAAGATTTTCTAGAGTCCAATGCATTACAATCATACATTTCCTTTCCTCGAAATTAAACAACTTGATCCATCTTTGTAGTTGGGTGCATAGGTGATCAAAGCTTTTCAGAAACATGCATAACCTAGGAGGTTGTAATGCTTGGAGGCAAAAACGTTTATGCTAATTGTATATATATATATTTTTTTTTTGTCAAAAATGCTAATTGTATGATTGGATTCTCTCATCCCAAACACCCCAAATGGCTTTCTTTTCATTTTT